ATTTGAGCCTATGGACACCCTCTGCGCACGCAGCGTCCCTCCTGAACTCGAACGTTCTTTCAGCCTCCTCCTCGTTCTCGTCCTCTGGATCCGGACTGCAATGAATCATCACCCATCTCTTCTCTGACTATCTGACCAGGCGCTTAGGGCCAATGTCCCGCAAACTGGACACGCAGGTTGTGAGTTGAGCTCTCGTAGCGATGGTCGTGAGATATAGCAAACACGTTGTGGGCTTTCTGCAACGATTCAATTCATTGGTTGCTACATACGTCATGCGTTCATTCACAGGAGGCCAGGTAATAATGCCGACAGACGTATATGAAGTCAGAGAATGTGCTGCAAACCTCATTGAAATCGTATACCGTTGTAAACCCCATACACATGTCGAAATCCGTCATGATGACGATTCAACTGGAGGCGTATCCCGAGAGAGCGGCCATAAATTTAGCGTCTACCCTTCGGTTCGACGACGCACGATCGCCTTTCTTTGGGGAAACGGGTCTTGCTGCAAGTGATGATCCGGGGTTAATGTGGCCATGAATGCATATGCTGGAGATTGGTTGCTCAACGGCGAAGCACTCAGAAGGCATCTTCATTATCATCCTTTGCGAACCTTCTGCCTCCAGGACATTCCCCATGTTTCTTCGAACTTATCAGTACCCTCGGCATACTTATAATTAATTTCCTGGGCGCGAAGATACAAACGTGTTTCCATTCGTGAGCCTGTCAGTTTGAGCGGGCTGTTACACTGCTGAACTAACCTACGCTGACTTTGAGTACGTACACGATATATAGGGAGCCAGGATATTTCGTCTACACTTAGTGACGGCGCCGCATGACGGATTGAAAACAAGGCCCAAGTCTTATTTCGTCTCCCATTAGTGGTGTTTATTATTTGCACTTGCAGGTCCTTAGGTACCGGTCTATATGGCGACAAGACGAGTCTACTGATGATATAATAATAAGAGACTGAGTAGAGGATTTGGGGGCACGTTCTGGACGCTCAGACTCGGATGCGACAGCCACACGGCAACCGTGAGAATCGCCATTTTGTGGTCACGATCAGGTGCTCTGTGACTAATCGCGACTTCTCGGCAGGGCTTCAGTTGCTCATCGCATCGGAAGTCCTCGCTCATTGATGCCTTACTTTAAGTCGAAAGAATGGTAAGAAATACAGATCTTCCGTTCCTGCTGAAAGGCTCATAATTCCAATACTGCTGAAGCTATGGGAGTCTCAGGAAGCAATGCCAGAAGGTCCAGACGTCCCGAAGACTCGCCCCTATTTCCCTCTTCTTCGTCTCCCCCCGGAGATCGTCTATCTGGTATTTTTGCAGGTCCCACGCATCGGCGATTTATGTGCCCTCCGAGACACCAGCGCTACACTTCGTACATTTGGTAGACCGGCACTATTCAAATCTATTCATGTGCAGGGTACAGCACGGGAAGGCATGGCTCTTCGTACGATCCTTCGGACGCCGGCCCTTGTATCAGCTGTGCAGATAGTATCCTTCGATTACAACGAAGGATCGCATCTTGAAGAAAAGGAAGTCTGTGATAATGAGTGGCGGTACTTCAAAGGTGACACAGGTTGGTGAAATCGAGACAGCTTCGCTCCTTGCAATTCGGTCTCACACTTTAATGAAGATCACGATACGTTTACGAGCATCTTCTGCTCCGCCCTTTCGCAACTCCACCAAGCAGTGAATATGCACAGTCTCACGTTGAGCTTCCATGAAGGGGATCTCTGTACCTCAGAAGAGGCTGCTGCGACAGTTGAAGACGCTCTCTATCACTGCACTCTGCGAGAACGATGAAATCATTCGAAGAGGCGATGAATTGGAGGACTTCTGGTATCCTTCATTGCCGGACCTATTCCTAGCTCCGACACAGAATAATCTCCGGAATCTGTCTCTCCGCAGCCCAGACCTCAGAGTGGGATATGGTAGGCCCCAGATCGGCCTCGAGGACATCGCATTTCCTCACCTCACAAGCTTGGAGCTCGAGGGTTTAGCATTTGGTGATGAAACGCCGGTAGAGCCGTTCATTCTTCGGCACGGAGCGACGCTGCGCCGTCTGACGATCACGGATTGCTTGTTAGCATGCCCCGAAGAGCAGATCGAAAAGCAGGAGGACGGTGATGAAGATGAAGCAGGCACGAAGACCGTCCAGAGATGGGGACATGTCTTTGACAGGTTCAGAAGAGAACTGGTTTGCCTGCAGGAGATCGATGTGACGGAGTTTGGCTACGGCGAGTTCCGCCTCGATACATGTTACCTTCGGGACCTCCTGAAGATTGATCGGGAGCAACAACGGGCGGATACAACTGCTTTGGAGAAGTTGGAGTCTACTGTCCGTCAGCGACGTGACGTGGAATCGAGTTGATATGTAGAAGCAGACGTCGACCAAATGTACACATCTATTGGTAGTATTTTGGTGGCCCATAATTGTGAATGAAACTTGCCTTTTGACGGTTTGAGGTAAGTATTGGGGCACGATGATTTGCTGCCTTGGAGCACCAATGTGATGAGGGGTTTATTCACGTTCGGTCTGCGCCGTATGGGGAAGCCATCGGGACAGAGCGATCATTCCTAGCAAAATCACTACTGTCTAAGCTTACACTCACCAGCCTAGTTAGAGGCTGGGAACGGAGAATAAACTTCAACACTTCTGCCGCCTTCGATATGGGAAGTGTCGCTGAAATCACTCGACTCTCGAGTGGATTCGCAGATGAAGGACGCCTCTTCCAGCCCTCGGAGTCTCCGCTGTTCTTCTGACTTCGTCATGCATCTTATTTCACCCCGTACTGAGGCACTCTTCAGTCCTTGGTGCTTCACTCAAACAATGATATAGTCGGGCATGACCTACCTTCCTTCGCTATGGCGTTACCACCCTTTACACGCCCTGGCAAGTTGAAGTTCGGCGGAGACACGTTCGGTGGTGAAACTCTGTTTCATCAACTCATTCTCAGAAGGACAGCGTGGAAGCTTGCCGCCGGGCAGCGTAGAAGAGATATATGTCGATAAGAATTGCCTATCCGGTCAAGGCTTTCCTATCCATTTCATAGCTCTGTGAGGCTCGCAGACAACCCTACATCATGAGAATGTATGAGGAATCCATTCGCCACAGCTTCTCCAGAGTAGCGCGAACGATGCATCGAATCGCATTCCCATATGCATCCGGAAAGCCACTCAGGTTGGTTGGAGCCAATCTCCATAGTCATTCATCTATGTCCATCACAGCACCGTATATCCACCTAGCAAGTATAGTCACATCAGAATGCAAATACACTTCCGTAGTCGGCAACACTCACCGTCAACCTTAATATCGCTCCCGGTGATAAAACTTCCCGCGTCGCTCGCCAGCAGCACCGCCGCGCCACACACCTCCTCAGGCTTACCCATCCGCCCCATCGGCGTCCGTTCATTCCATATTCTCCGTGGCTCCTCGAGGTGCTCGCCCTCGTTCAGCACGGTGTCCATGTACCCCGGGCTGATGGAGTTGACACGTATGCCGTGCCGCGCCCATTCCGCGGCTAGACCGTGCACGAGGTGCAGTACACCCGCTTTGGAGACGTTGTACGCGGCCTGCGGCTGCGGGAAGTTCGTCGTGTGCGCAGAGATGGACGCGGTGAGGATGATGGACCCGTGGGTCGACGTGGCTATCATGCGCCTGCGGTGTGTCAGTCAATTCGGTTCCTTAGCTCGCGGATACGAGACGCACTTCGCCACCGTGCGCGCGCAGATGAAGCTCCCCGTCAGATTAACCTCCAGGATGCGATTCCACTGCTCGATCGGCATCTCGAGCGCGTCCACGACCCCCACAATGCCCGCGCAGCACAGCAGCACGTCCACCGTGCCCGCTGCCTCCACCGCCTCCTCCACCATCATCTCGTCGGCGACGTTCACGCCCTTGAATAATATCGTTGCGTTGGGGAAGGAGGACTGCAGGGAAGAGACGGCGACGGTTCCAGTGGAGAGGTCACGGTCGAAGATGATGAGGCCGGACAGCCCGTGCTCGAGCAGCGCAGTGGAGATGGTGAGCCCCAGGCCGCCTGCGCCGCCGGTTACTGATGCAAGTGAGCATGAGACGGATGGCACGGTACATGAGCACAAACGTACCGATTGCACGTTTGCCGGCAAGGGAGAACCGCGCGCGAGCGCGGTCCTCCGGTGTCGTCTGCGGCAGGGGCGGGGGCAGGACAGGGTCCGACGGCCTGCGGAAGTGGATTTTGGCCAGCGCAGACATGATTGATTGCTTGCTCAAAGAGGAACAAGGCGAGGAGGTTAGGGGAGATACCTGATCGATCGGTATCGCGATTTCAGTCCACATGTGATCTTATCAGCGACTTCGCGAATCCGAACACTCTAAATACAAGGACACTATCAAAGATGAATCTATGTGTAATCATGAAGTCGTGATATAACGAGACTCGTACAGTGTATGTCACTAAGAGTCGGCACCTCTGTGGTACCTTAATTATGCCGCCGCAGGCGGCGAGAAAAAAATTTGAAACATAAACCTGGCCAAAAGGCGCGTAATCCTGCATTTTCATTTTTTTGGGTGCTTACGTAAGCATTCAAATATAGGGTTGCCGAACCTAACCTCATGTATTTGGGAGCCAACTGCGTCCTGATCACTCAATAAGGTTGTATAATAGCAAAATGGGAGTCTCCCATGGAATTCCTGTGATAGGGAGTGTCCCATGCATCCAAAGCAAGTATTGTCTTCACCCTAACCCTAGCTTAGCACATGGCTTGGCCGACCTTGCCGTGATTACAAAGCTTCCCTTTATGGTAACTCCGCTACATCTCCGACCCAAATTCAAATATGTGAAGGGTTAAATTCTTAAAAGCGGGAATTTCGAGAAAATAATCAGATGGTTCGAAAGCTCTCGTGAAAAGGAATCGATTGGTCTGGTTTTTGGGACCTGAAAGTATTTTCTCACGACCGTGATAGGATCCGCGGCTCGCCTATTGCCGAGTGGTCGATTTTGAGCGCCTCACACTGTACATAGGTAAGTATTCAAGCTGAGCCTGCCGCGTCCTCAACCACCTCTTCTGGGTGCCGTTTCCGCCACTCTGCGAGCCCGGCTTCGAGAGTGCGCTCGTTCGTGCCGTTGCGCACTAGGCAGAAGGTAACACCTGTTAGGAAATCGGGGTGAGTCCGGGTACACAGAAGCGAAGGGAAAGCAGACGGACCGAGCGACTCGACCTCTTTGTTCCGGTGCTCGTCGTCGAAGAATAACTGCAGTGGAAGAGTAAGCGATGGATCGGTGGAAGAGTGGATCGGGGGAAATAGGAGAATGGGAGAAATGGAGGAACGCACCATTTCAGAGTACGGGAGGCCGGTTTTCTGGTGCAGCTTCTTGAAGTGCGTTATCTTCGAGCCTAATGCATGAGTTAGTCAATCATTGGAGGACGTACGAGGACGAGCTATGACGCGCCTGGATATATCTCCATCTGATCAAAGAACTCTATCGCTGGCGTAGGTTTCCCGTGCTTGTCCCCCGCTCGTGGGGGTACAAGGAGGAGCTGCAGGGCACGTCGGGCACTGCATTGCATACCATACAAGAGTCAGTTCTGTTTCCGAGCGTAAAGAAGGTGGTAGGGATGTGAACGCACAGGCCGGGTGCGGACGTGCGGGAACATGCTGCGATGATAACGCCTGCTGAGCGCAGGCGATGGAGGATCTGGGGCACTTCGTGGTAGAACTCGATCTTCTCGTTGTATCTGCGTATCACAAAGCATATATGATATATACCTACATTTCATAAAACTTCGGAAGCAGAATAAACGCACCTATCGAGCACCTGGTTCAACGTGTTCCCTTCTCTCCGCAGCGGGGCTGACACAGACGTCTACTCCCGATTCCTTTAACTTCTCTGGAAAAGCTAGTGCGTACGGGTGACATGGGTATCAATCCACAGGTCCCAGAGCGTATAGCTGGGGTGTCGTCAGCTTTAGGGCCGACTCAAGGGCAGAGCTACCGACTCTAGGTCGAACGCGATCAGTTTCGGAAGTCGACTCGTCATTTCTTTTGCTCGGAAAGGTGTAGAATAGCGATTTTACAGAAAACGGAGGTGGCAGACGACGAGGGGCGGGTGAAGGACGGCGTGGAGCAGTTACGGAGGAGAATGGTTCAATGGAAAGAAATTGTAGAGGACTACAGATGTTTTGTAGACGTGGGAAGGGGTTTTGTAATACTTCAAGGGGGAGGGGGGAGAATATAGACTCGTTCGCTGACCGCCACCATGTGCTTATCCTGAGGACAGCGGTTTTTTCTGTGCTGGCTGCAGGACTTCATGTATTAGAAGAACATACACGGCTCGAGGTCTCGGTTGCTTTGCAATTCTGGAATTCTAAAGCCTTGACGGTAGGCCCTCTTCAAGTTCTAGCACTTCGCCATGTCTCGCTCTCGGGATACTATACGCTCTGGATCCCTCCGTGACAGAGAAAGCAATATCATGCAACTTGGAGAGCCGTGGAATTACCTTGAGGACTCGATACCCACTTCAAGACCGGATGGACGCGCATATACCCAAGTCTCAAGTACCCCTGACCGCAGCCAGGATCTGGAATACCCGAACGACGGCTCAGAATACCCCATGACGCTTGCCATGAACACCGGTTCTTGGTCTACGCACGACGCAGGCTCTTCAAGCCCTTGGAGGACCGGTGGCACTGACCCTCTACCCAGGAGTAGTCCCGGATACGACGAGATCCCCGTCTCGAGTAGCCCCGGGTACAACGAGGAAGTACCCATATCGAGCAGCCCCGCATACCACTATGACGAAGTCACCCTCTCGAGCAGCTCTGCATACGAATACCACCAATGCCCCCTCTCAAGCAGCCCGGGATACGGCACGGTGCCCATGTCGAGTACGCCAGACCTGTCATTCTCTGCGTCTAGCCCGTTCCTGAGCTCCGATCCTGACTACGCTGGCTTTGATGTCTCTCGAGGTGGTCTTCGTTCGTCGTACCCTGCTGGGTTGGGTCCGAGGTCTGCGTCTACTGTGTATGACTCTTCATCTCCTATCGCGCATGGTATTGGCCTGGGCAGTAGGCGCAGCTCGAAGTCCTTGGAGAACGAGGCTCATGAATACGCGTACATCCACGCCGGACGCGAGTTGGGGGTATATGGTGGTACTCAGCTCTCTGAACGTGAGGAGTCAAGACGGCGCTCACCGGGTTGTGCTCAGGATGGCGTATACAGCCTGCAGGAACGCGGCTCTGACGGCTACTCTAGCACTCAGGAGTCAAGACGCCGCTCACAGGACTACGCTGCTAGGTCTCGGGGTTCTGTTCAGGATCACGCATATATGCTGGGTGGAAGATGCTCTGTGCACTCTGTCGATCAGGTGTCTGGACTCGAGGGGTCAGGAAGGCACTCACAGAATTACACTGCTAGGTCTGGAAGTACTGCTCAGGGTCGCGCATATATCAGGGGCCAAAGCCGCTCTGAGGTCTATGTTACCGGTCAGCTCCGCAGACAGGTGGATGACCTCTGGAACTCACGGGACTATGCTACTCAGTTTCGGAGTACTGCTCAGGACCACACTGATACTATGGACAACAACGACTCTGGGGTCGGTGGTCAGCTCCGTGGACGCACGGTATCAAGGCGGGACTCACAGGACGGTGCTCTTCTGTTGCAGGATGCTGCTCTGGATCGTGCAAATACACTAGGTAGAAGCGAGTCGAACGTCTTTGGTAGCTCTCAGCTCTCTGGAAGCGAGGAGTCAAGACTGTACCCACAGATTCCAAGTTACGCTCCCCTTTCAAACAGGTCTTCTAGGAATCATCAAGCGCGGAAGAGCAAACGCGCCCGCTCGCCCTCGCCCCTCCCTACTCGGAAGAAGTTCCGCACAACCGAGGATCTGGAGCAGCGCTTCTCCTTCTCGCAGTCGCAAGAGAGCTCCTCGTTCTCCTTCACCAATAGTAGTGCCTCCTCTCTGTCACGAGTATCCAACGAACGCACCTCGCAGCCATCCGAGTCGATCTCCCCGCTCAAACTGGAGTTGAGCGTCGACGAGAAGAATTTCCTGGCCCGCATTGACGCGCTCGTGCGTGCTGCTGTGGACGTGCAGCCCAGGAAGTACTACGAGCCCGATTCTGTGCGGAGCCTCAGCGACGCCAGTCGAGAAGAGGGATCGCACACACCCGTGTTGCATCACCACCACCACCATCAAGCTAGGCGATCTTCTCAAAACAGTGCGGTCGACTTGTCTTTCCTGCGCGAGCTCGATAGTAGGCTGGCCAGGATCGCGGGAACCGGGTCTGGTAACGGTCACACGAGGAGGACGGGCGCTAGTGCTGGCTCGGAGGACTCCGGCGACATTCAAAACTCGTCGCCAGCGCGAATGGCCCCTATTTCCGATCCTCCTGCTGAGTCCGACTATATGTCTCAGTCTTATCCTCAGTCTCATTATTACTACAGATCGCGCTCCTATCCAATGCGATCTGACTCTGAAGAGCTGTCAGAAGCTGGAGTTCCTTATGCTACTTGCTCTCTGCAGTCTTTGCGCCCTTATTACAGTGGCGAATCTCCTCGATTTACCATCCCTCCCCCTTTCCCGCCTGATGCTCTCCAATATGTTGCTCCCAAGAATGCGCATCTTGCGCTCTCGAGGAAGAGAAAACGGAGCATCTCTCCGTCAGGTCTGCGCCAAAGTACCCTACACGGCGCCGCTGAGTATGGTGCCTCTGTGGCTCGCCGAGCGCGTCACGATGAACATGTTCACGCGTCGTCCAGCCTGAGCCAAGTCATCTTGTGTCGCGAGGAGGACGAAAGTCCTCTATTTGCATATGGTCGCTCATCGACGCGTCCTGCCGGTATCGAGCCTGCTTCACCCAGTGGCTCGGAGGGAAGCGCGGGTGATGCCTACAGTCGCGAAGTGGACGAGAGTCCACTGTTCGCTTACGGTCACGCGCCTGGTCATCAAGACGAAAACCAGCCAGCATCGTCGAGTGGCCGGGAGGGAAGCGGTGATGACGAATCAGGCTCTCCTGAGGAGAAGCCTTCGCCGCATAGCCAGCAATGGATGCCGCTGAGCACTGACACGCTCGGGACTGTGCAGATTCCAGGCAGTTATACGGTATGTTGCGTGCATATGATTTCGTTGGGTGCGTGCACTGACGCAGAAATTTGCCGTAGATCTTGGTACCCGTCCTTCTTAACTGGGCCACCACCTCAACCGGTATTTCGCGACAAACTTCTTTTGCGTCCACAACATACTCTTACGAGTCTGAAGAAGACACTGACCCTCCTAATGCCCGGTCTACCCCGCGCGAGAATGAGCTCCCTTTCCATGTTCCCGCGATAGCCCCTCCGGCCACTCGGGATTTCATCCCTCTTCCTCCTGTTGACGAAGAGGAGGAAGCCGAACGTAGACTTGCTCGTCTGCTAGCGCGTGAGACCCGACAACGGGCCTCCGAGGGGCTACCCGTGACTTGCAGTGTTAACATCGACGTGCAGGCTTCTGCTAGTCGGGGTAGTGAAGCGGGAAGCCCTGCCTCTTCCACCGCTGTCGTCGGTACGAGATCGAGCGTCGACAGTTCTGGCCTACAATGGGATGGGTTCCTCGATATCGACGAGGAGACGATGGCGCGTGCGATAAAGTGGATTCTTGAAGTGGAGGTCTGTCCATTTTATTCCATTTTCCCGATTTTTTGTACTATCTGCTAAATCGTATCGCGCATCCGTAGGTTCAACGCTGTCGCTCAGATCATAATGGCCAATTTGACACCTGGCGTGAGTTGCGCGACCAGCTTGCTTCATCGCCTGAGACACGCTTCTGCGCCGGCTATATGTTCCTTCGCTACTTCAATGCTATATCGCACGGGAGCGATAGCCAGGACAGCCAGCGGTCGACTATGTCGTGGAGGCAGGGCCGTGCGCTTGCAGCCCTCGACGTGGCAGTAGCTTGCCTGGCCATAAGCGCGCAAGTGAGTTTGACACGGAGCTGCTTCTTGCAGATCGCTCATATCTCGCAGTTTAACAGAGACCATTTGCTTCCGCTGTATCCTCTGAGTGCGAGGACATTCACTCGGTTGGCTACCCATGAGATGGACCGTCATGATCTGGATGTGCGCCAGTTTCCTGCTCACCTCTCCTATTCATCTGACCATTGCGCGCCTAACTATAGGCGGCCAAATGGGATGTGTTTTCGGCGCTGTCTTTCAGTATCAGCAATGATTCACCATCGGCTTACATGGAGGAAATCTATGACTTTTCGACTTCCTTTCGAGTCCTGCTGGGCTCTCGTCAGATATGGGCCCAAGTCCAGAGGGAAACGTGGCAGCGCTTATATTTAGCGCTCTTCGACTCCGAAATATTGCGGTTCCCGGTTTCATTGCTCACACTAGCTGCTTTGGTTGAGTCGACGATCGACACTCTTGTTGAGCAATATGATGCGGCCTCCGTACCCACCGCCACTGGCGACGATCTCGAGGCAGAGATCAGGTTACTCGCGAAATACCGCGAAAGAGCCACCGAGGAAGTTTTCGAGGCGATTCATCACCTGAAAGATATGTGGGCTATATCGGAAGTAAGTTTCTCATGTCCATTGGATTGCTGAGCGATGCTGATTTAACCGTGTACAGGGGGAACTGGAAGAGAGTCGGCAGTGGCTCACGTCCGTTGCTGACTGTTAGACGGGACTAGTCTACTTATCGAGTTATTTATCGTTTCCTCTCCGTTTTATCTGCATGACCGGACTCAACTGCATTGTAATGTGTATTCTCCACGACACCCCATAACACAGCAGCTGTGCTACCACCATAGCGCTGATAAATCTTCATAAAGTAAAGCATAGTCAGAAAATGAAAAGCCAGCAAGCTGATCGAACCAATATATATCATCTTTGAAGTACCGCCAGCTACGGACATGGTCGTCTTTCTCTTCCACTGGCAGGCTTGATCCTTCGTCGTAGTCAAAGGACATCATGTGCGCAACTGAAGCAAGACTTGGCATCCAAAGGATCGTACGAAGCGCCATGCCTTCTCTCGCTGTACCCTGCACATGAATAGACTTAAATAGTTCAGGTCTGATAAATCCATGAAGTGTCGCGCCGGTGTCTCGAGGGCACATAAGTCGCCATTTCGCTGGAGCTGCAAGAATACCAGACAAACGATTTCCGAAGGAAGACTCAATACTAGTGGGAAATAGGCGCGTCTGAATACCAGAACATCCTGGCTGGCTCTGGGAATACCGTGAGCGTCTGAGCTTCTTCTGCCGCAAACAATCAAATCAGATACGAATAAATCTAGTCATTACCTTCGGCTGTGTGGCTCAACATCAGTTCTTGTGCTGAACATGGAAGCCATGTCTTACCATGCTACAGCTGAATCGAGGCGCCCTTCAGGATGATCTATTGGGACGACGTGGTATAAGATGAACACGAGGCCTGGTCACCTCAACAAAAGACTGACGCCACAGAAGCGACAAGTCGCGCTCGGTTGCAGAGCATCTGACCGTGACGGTTGACCACCGAAGGTGGAGGTGTAGCGTGGTGGTGTTGCTGGCGAGCGAGGCCTGGAGTCTCATCAGCGGGAGCAACATCAAGATTGATAGTGAGAGTTTGTGGAAGGACAAGCGCTCATGTTTGCTGATAGGAGGTCGGCCTCCACTAGACTCAAAAGCTCGCTCTTCAGCGACCCAAAGACAGGGGACCATTTCGGCCCGGGAACGTCCTCCCTCCAGACAATTGAGAATGACTTAAGCATCAGGCGTTCCAGTGTGTCTTTCTGGTTCAGAATGAAATCATGAGACGGCGCCATTGCACCAAACACCATTCCCCCGACTTCCAACTTCCTCAGGTAGGGGAAGCGGAGGCCTGTGAGTGGGAGATGCGGTATGCCAGATCAGATTGCAAGATTATTGAAGTGGATCACCAGAGGTTGGAGGGTGACCGGTGACCTGCGATGGTGTAAGATAAGTCCGTGGCAAAACGTGCAAATTGCATGAAATGCCGGGATGCTTTCTACGAGACTTTGGGAGTTTACTCGAATGCCGAGTGATTCCAAGGGTTGTGTCCAGGACTGTCCAAGCCGAACTGGGGGCGGAAACACGAGGTCGGTCCTGGCCGTGACATTGGTGAGCGTAAAGCTGGATAATCCAGGTGGACAGTGGTCAATAATCGCGCAGAGCACCTTTTGCTTTATGTCTGTCGTCAAGCAGGCCGGTTCCTCGTCGTTGAAGGGGTAGTGGAAATCGAGTTTGAGAGACACCAGCTTTGTAGCGAGATTCAGCCTCGAAAATGCGCTGGTATAGATGCGGCCAATGTCATATTCTAAGACGAAGGGGAGCGGACGTGGTCAGTTTCAGGATCACTAAGCACATGAATATCGAAAGGCAGCGATTGCATACACGTACCAGCGTCTGAATAAAATTCGCGACCTCTCTCCCTGTCGAGGACATACTTGAAACCCTCGTCGTACGCAAAGGATATGGATTCTCTGGATTAGGCGAAATACTAGCACTCTGCGGAACGATTTCGCATCGCGGATTGAGCCCTGCGTGTGTATGCTTTTGAATAGCTCGGGTATTATCGTACTTCGCACCGTTGTATTAGAGTCATAGAGCGCGTAGATGTCACCGAGTGGGGGCAGACACGACCATGCTATAAATATTAACTCCATCGGCAATTCGAGAACAAGAGAGCCGTCGTGAGCCGTATCGCTGAAATGTGGCATGAATGAATCAGTCGGCGCTCCGGCGGGCGGCACCACTGCGCCGCTGACATAGCTGTCGTGCCACCATCGAATACGTCGTATGACCTCTACGACCACGGTTGATAATGCAGTACTGGTAGCTAATCACAGCAGCAAGAGACGGGCATACGTGTTGATATTCGTGCCCCCTGGGCCACGGTCTTACAACTCCTCGTCTCTTCGTCGCTTAACGACGGACTCCAGTTCCTGCAGAGCAGCCGCATCAGCATCTTCCTGCTCCCTGTAGACCTTGACATCGAGTAGCAGGTATTTCTTGTAGCGGCCATAACCATACTCCCAAACTTCGATCTCCTGCAAGCACCCCAGCTCTTTCCTGAATCCGTCAAAGGTATCCTCCCATGTACGTGGCATCTCCCACCTGTTGTCTTCCTTTCGTCCCACGACCTCCAGTTCGTTACATACCATTAGGCAATCTATGACCTCTAACCGGCGTAGCGTCGCCTTATGCCGGAGAATGAAACGCTCTGTGGACGTATCCCGACCAAATGCTAGATTTACCAGCTCCAAGCCAGTCAGGTGAGGAAAGGTGAGGATGTCGAGGCCGATTACAGGTGCATATCCCACAGTTAATCCTGGGCTACGGAGACACAGGCTTTGCAGATTACTGTGAACCGGAGCAGGGAATAGCCTCATCAGCGAGCAACACCAGAAATGCTCGGCGTCTTCGCGGCGACGATGAGAGTGATGATCAGTGATTGTCGAAAAGCTGAGCGTCCTGAGCTGCCGTAGCAAGGTCGAAAGGCCTCGGTACCTATAGCAATCCAGGGAAGACGCTGGCAAACTTGAGATGAAGAGGGATATAAGCGACCGGGGGGCGTGGTCAGAAATCGTTTTGAGGACAGCTTCCGTGAAATAGACCTGGGGCGAGACATAAAACTTTAAGTCGATGTTGATTTTCCTGTGAAGTTGCAGAATGAGGCTGTGCAAGTTGGTAGCTCGTTCGAGTCTCGAGAAGGCTGAGCAGAATATGTTGGTAAACGTGACGTGGTCTGCATGGTAGTAGAGTATGTGGTCAGAAGGCCAATAAGAAGCAATGGAGACCTTATAGTCTAACCAACCTATATTATCCTTGATCAGCCGGTTGTTTGGATATCCTCCCTTTCCTTGGAGACGTGATCCTTCATCATAGTCGAAGGAAATTGTCTGAACAGCGGGACCGAGGACCGATGTTTGTAAGATTTTTCCAAGTGCGAGGCCATCGCGCACGGTGCCCTGCACATGGACTGACTTGAACGAATCCGGCGTAATCAATCACGAAGTGCGGCACTGGTGTCCCGAAGCACACAGAGGTCGCCTATGCATGGTACATGTAAGAATATCAAACCATAAATTTCCAAAGGAAGACTAGAGAAAGGGCAGTTTGAGCGGGTCTGAACGGGAAATAATTCTTCTTCAGCTTCGAGTTCCCCCAGCTCCTGAGTATCGAGGCCGGTGGGCACCCTATCCTCCGAGTCCTATTGAGTAGTATTAGCACGACATAGGTCCTCGAGTTGGTCAAAAGGGGTCTTAACTGTTGCCATACTGCGGTTAACCTGGGCCAACGGCTTTTGTGAAGTTAGTATAATAACTGGATCGATCAACCTTTGCCAGCTCACGGGACCATGGACGCGTCGGGTGTGAATGATGTCATTGTAAATCACGGATGTGACGGCCACACGTGACCAACGCGCCACCCAAGAAAATTTAAACCACGTCCTCAAGTTGACAGATGAGTCACTTGCCACTTCCTGGTACCGTCCGGCGTCCGATGCTGGTACCCTACAACAGTGCGCATGCCTCCAGACAAATTATCGTTTTCGGGGTCAATGACGTTTGCATCAGATACTCATAGCAGCTACCTTTGTCTTGAATCACACGACCTGCTCCATTGTTCGTTCACTATAAGGCGCAAGCCTCCCATTATACAACACTACACTAGTCCTTACTTTACCTGTCATGATGGCCTTATACTCTTCAGAGGGTCATATTGAGAACCTTCCCGGTGCATCCGACCTTCCCACCGAGCTCTGCGCAATGATCTGCAAGGAACTAAGAGACCATCTGGATCGTAAAGCTCTCTTTGCTCTGGTTCAAACTTGCAAGAAGTGGTCAGAACCAGCACTGGATGCACTGTGGAGGTGTATGGATGATGTAAAACCCCTTCTTAATCTCGTGCCACACCATGCACTGGCGAACCGAAATAATGTGAGTACGAGAACATGCCTCATAGCGTACGTAACTTGATGCTGGAGTGCCATTCGTAGGGTCGTACCCCCGCAGACCGAGTGGCACGCGAAGCTTGGACGCGCTTCGATGAATATAGCAAGCGTGTAACGACGCTGTATACGACGTTCAGTGAGCAAAGATGCGAGGATTACTCCACAATTCTTCAGCTTGTAGCACTTCGAGGGAGTCCAGTTCTGCCGCGCTTGAAGACGTTCGACTCCACACACTTGTTCCGTTGTCTACCGCTGGATGCTCGGCTTGTCCCGGCGCTGTCCGCTTTTCTAGCGCCGTCTCTGGAGACGCTGTACATAAGTATAGAGGGGGACCCATTGTTACTGCTCCAGGATGGATCAGAACTCCGTGGAGGACACTTCCACATCTTCTTGCAAAATCTGCCAGCTAAGGTCCCTCGGTTGAAGACCTTTCAGATCACGCAATGGGACCTCCCCCATGTCCCGCTCGACTTCATCGGACGCTTCAGGTCACTCGAAAACCTGGAGCTCGACCACATTCCTAACGATATCCTCAGCGATGACGTTATGCGGTCTGACCTCTTCAATGCATTCTCGTGCCTCCCATGCCTGAAGGATCTGACCATCAGAGGTGTGCTTAAGCATGCCGGAAATATCCCAGTCGGCTGGTGCGCTCCTCCGGTACTCGAACGCCTCTGCACCGAGGACATAATGCCTTCAGCGCTCGCAGAGATCCTACGCAGAATGCACTCAGATACTCTGCAGAGCATCGAGATGAATCTACCCCGAGCTATCGCCCTTGTCAATGGCATGCACTCTCTGTGCCAAGCGATCTCAACGTTTCATCCCATGTTACGATCAATACGGATTTTCGTGCAGCACGTAGAAGACACAGATCCTCCAGGCATCCCTATATTCGCGGTATTTGGTCCTTTGCTGGAGTTGCGACATCTGGAAGATATGACAATATGCCCTTATCACGTTGATCAAGACGAGGGGACGCCTTGTTACGTGATCAGGGACAATGATATAAAGGAGATGATCTCTGCTTGGCCTAAGCTCCAAAACCTACATTTACAATGGTACGGCGATGAGCCCCTGATAACCTTCAATAGCCTCGTCATCATTGCTACCAGCAGCCGACTTCGGCGCTTGGAGCTGGAGCACATATACATCGGAGACGAGGTCGTTGAAGGGGAGATCCCTACCACGAGTCATCAGCTCTATGATCTTTGGCTTAATACCGTGGAGTATGAGAGCGACAAGTGTAATGCGGAAGTGTTGAAGGGTGCTGTACGTCGTCTGTTTCCCAGTCTGGGTCAGTTTATACTGGGGGCTGAAATGTGAATGGACCGACTGGAATGGCCGTGATGTACTCGTAATAATTGTTGATTGCAGGGTGCTTTCAGATTGCAAGGTCGTGTCTATCGTATGTTCCAAGAGGAGCAAAAGAGAATATTGTGACCTCAAGAATAGACCTTGTAGATGCAGGTGCCGGCTATTCCAGGATCTCTGGATGCGGTACCTCTTCATCCACTCGGTGTTAATGAGTCAAAGATCTCCGCTCCTCCATTACCCTGGGCAGACTTACCGGCCACTCGATATTGGCATCGCTGTTGGTTCGGCGACTGCGCGGATGGAAAGGGAGGGCAAATTTTGGGAGCGTCAATGTAGGACGGGGTCGCGCAGTGAGGAGACAGTAACGCTAGTTACTAGACTCGCCGGCGGAGAATTGACCCTGCTCAGAATTACAAGTGGCCTCGTATGCGAAAGATGCCTGAGAGGAGTCATTGCTGACAATGTTCTGGAACTCAAGTTCCAGAGAGGTCAGTTCCTGGTTTCCTTCAACCTAGAGAACGCATGAAGCAGTATATGTTGAAGTTCGTCCTCTGGAGAGCAAAGTAGAGCAGTGAGCATCTCTGTAGCTTCTCGGGCATGTGGGGGCGGGGGGTGAATACAACTCTTTTGACCCCGCCCCGTCAAGGCATACTTGTCGCCCTCTTCGTAAGAAAAATATACAGCTTCAACAGAAGCAGCGAGATGCGATGAGCCCAACACCCTGCGGAAAGCAATAGCGTCTGATAGTGATCCTCGAGCACGGATTGACTTGAATATTGCCTGAGGTATGCGGCGACGGAGCGCGACACTCGAGTCGTGCAGAGCCATCACATCTCCAAGATAGTCTAACTGGAGGAATACGAGATGCAGTATTTCCAATGGGAGAGATGAGTACGAACGCCATCCTCGGTTGTCATCCGTGCATGACACTGGCTCCCGCGTCATTTCTAGTCGTGCGTTGCACTAGTTCACTCGATGGAATGATAGATATGTTCCTGCGTTACTTTCATGCCTTCGTTTGATGTGTGGCGTCACAGTCGGCGTTCGAGCAACGTTGGATTCTGAGAGGATCAATGCGTCTACACTTGGAGTGAACACGCACTGGAGCCCCGAAAAAACCCGCTGTGTATGTTGGAGTAGACCCTGGAGAAAAAGGATGGTATACTGTGTCTTTGACGGAGAAGCTGCGATTGGATCATCCACTCAGACTGACGCCGCGGCCTGCGCCGGCGGCATAAACGATCTCCCGGACCTATCACGTGCCGTTAGCTTTCCAATCGGACCTTGGTTGTGTCACCGTCAGGAGGACGAGGACTGGGGCCCCGCATTCTGTCTCTTAGCTCTTGGATGTGTCGACCGCTGAACTCGAATGCCTTCAAATGTCTCTGCTAGCCGGGACAAGCAATCTTGGGATTATGCGCTGCGGTCGGGTCTCGCGGGAGGGGTCGCAGGATGTGTCGTGCGTTGCATTTGCTCTCCAGGAGGTGTGCAGAAAGCACTGACGCTCGGGTGCGCAGGCGAAGACGGCCATTGCGCCGCTTGACCGCGTCAAGATCCTTTTCCAAACGTCGAATCCTGATTTCCAGAAGTACACAGGTTCGCAGTGCTCGTCGGACACACGGAGATGTGGATTCCGCTGAAGGTTTGGTGTTCAGGATCGTGGTCGGGAGCATTCAAAGCCGCGAGTCGAATATACACAGAGGCAGGTGTGCGTGGACTCTTGCAGGGGCACTCGGCAACCCTTCTCCGCGTGTTTCCGTACGCGTCCATCAAGTTCATGGCATACGACAAGGTCCACTATGTACGTTCGAGGCTCGAATTCGTTATGGCTGCCAATAAACTTTGCGACACACAGATGTTAATGCCCACTAGAGAACAAGAGACAAATCTCCGTCGCTTCGCCGCAGGGTCCCTCTCTGGTACGCATCCTCCGAAACACACCCCTTCCTCCTCTCACCTTCCCCAGGCATGATATCCGTCCTCTTCACCTACCCGCTCGAAGTTATCCGCGTCCGCATGGCCTTCCAAACCCGCTCCTCCTCCCCCTCCCCGCTGCGCCCCTCCTTCATCCGCGCCATCCAGCAAATCTCCTCCGAAGGCGCCAGCCGCCCCTCCGCCTCGCGCACCACCAAGACGCTCTTCGACACCTTCCCCGTCCTCAAGTTCTACCGCGGCTTCACCGTGACCATCATCGGCATGGTGCCCTACGCCGGCACGTCCTTCCTCACCTGGGGCTTCCTCCGCGCGCGGTACATCCCGCGGCCCAAGCCGGGCGAGAAGAAGCCCGCGACGCCGCTTGCGGACCTCACGATCGGCGGTATCTCGGGCATGATTGCGCAGACGGTGTCGTACCCGTTCGAGATCATACGGCGGAGGATGCAGGTCGGCGGGCTGACGAGGCCGGATCGGTGGATGCGTTGGGGCGAGACGGTCAAGGCGATCTACAACACGGGCGGGTGGAGGGGGTTCTACGTCGGACTGAGCATTGGCTATCTCAAGGTTGTGCCAATGACGGCTATCAGCTACGCGGTTTGGCAGGCAGGAAAGAGAGTACTCAAAGTATAGGTTCTGGATGTCCTGGCATAAATGTATTCTATCCACCAGTTAAGTATCGTTCCCAGCAATTACAGGAGCATCTGCATCAAGCTTTGCAGGGGTATAATCCGAGATGCATTGCAAGAGCAACGACAGCAGTTTGAACGACGCAACGTACTTTTACTTGATGATGATGATGCCAACAATTCCATGTACACCAGAACGGAAAACAAAAAATGCAGGGTGGACTAATACTATACGATGTTACCAATGATCTAAATGTAACTTTTTAGAATCCCATTCCTCGGGAGGCTACGCTATATTTTGCACCACGAAAGCAAGCAACTCACTTCACAGCACGACGGCAACACCCTCTCGTACACGTAGACGACTAGACGAGACCCTTCACGAGCATCCCCTCCAGCCGGCAATACTCGGGCACGAGCGACGCATACGCCATAAACGCATCAACATCCGCCTCCGCCACCCGTGCCAAACCCAGCTGCAGCTCCGCGTCGGTCGTCGACGGCAACGCCGTGACCGGAACCAGCGCCGTTGCGCCCGCACCAGGCGTCGGCGTCCCCCCGTTCGTCCCTCCACCCACGACTCCGCTCGCACTCCCGCTCAGGTCGGGCGTAGTGAACGCGGTGCTTGGCGCCCCCACGCCCGACCCCGAGCTGACGGCCGAAAAGTTCGTCGAGCTCGTGAGCGTGCGCATCCGCTCCTCATGTCCTACTAGCAACACCTCGTCCTCGTCCTCCTCCACGACGACGCTCGAGCCGAGCCCGCTGCGACCCAGCGGGCCCAGCCCATACGGTGTGCTCGCGCCGCTGCCTGGCGCACTCCCAGCCCCGGGCACGCCCACGCCAATCGTGGTCGGCAGCCCCGCCGCGTTCGTGCGCGCAGGCAGCCCGCCGCTCGTCGTCCAGCGCTTACCCAGGAGCCTCCGTATCTCCTCCTCATAGCCCAACGTCCCCCGAGCGCGCTCTCGCCCCCACGCCCATCGCGCAACGTATGAACCACCCAGAGCAGCGCGGCTCGGGAAACCGGGCGCGGGGGCGTTGCGGTGCGGGCTCGCCTGCGCACTGTCGACCTGCGTCGTCGGCATGAGCACGGGCGCATTGAACACGTCCCCGACGACGTTGGCGATCGACGGGAAGTTCGCCGCCGCGCCTGTGGCGATGATGCGTGCGGGCAGGGGGGCATGGTCATAAGGGTCAAATGACACGCCCAGGCTGGCTGAGATGGGCATGGCGGACGTCGAAGCGGTCGACGAGCGCCCGTTGGTCTGGCTGGGCTGTGGTGACTTACCGCGCCCAGGCGATGGACCCAGCGCACCGGTAGCGAGGAGACGCGACCAACGGACACGGAAGGAGAGAACCTGGCTCTCGATGAGGCACCGCGGGTTTGCGCGGAGATCGCGGAACTCGTTGACCTTGACGCCCGTCTCGAAGCGGAAGATGCCCTTGACGTGCGAGAAGGGGTAGCTATCTGCCTGAAGGAGCCAGAAGCTGAAGAGTTTGTCGTCAAGTCTGCCGCAGAGCGACCGTTAGCATGGTAAACGAGGACAGCTTCCTTACGGTCACTCACCCTATGGATCCGCCTGGGGGGACAATCGCTACTAGCCGGTCAAATGCACTCCAGCTCTTGGTGTACATGTCTCGGACAAGTGCTCGAGGTACGTCAGCATTTCTACACAGCGTCAAGCATTAGTTCAGGTCACACGAAGAACGGAGGGACGTACCTGCTAGTCAGGGTAAGAACATACTTCCTCTTGTCACTAGGGTCCTGAGCGGGGTGGGGATACATATTATACAGACGAGTGGGAACATAGTGTTGTGCGGTGGTCATCAACTGGTCCATGGGTCCGAATGCGAGAACAGCGTCCGACGGTGAAGGGACAACAGATAGGTAGAGAGATAAGTAATCCGGTATGAACGCGGTCACACCCGTATCTTCGCGCCGTTCAGCCAGTTACCCTAAGAGAAGCAAAGGCAGGCAACGCACCAGGATCGAACCCGTACCGGTCCACCAAATATCTCGATACCGTCCCGATCCTCCTTCCACACCCAACGGTATCCACCTCACCCAGCCAGCTCCTAATCTTCCTCCCATCCTCCCGACTGCCGCCAACGATATCCAATACCCCGTCGTCCCAGTATCCTCCCTGCCCCGTGCCTCCATGCACCCACATTCCCGTTGCACACGCCTCCGCCTCACTCATGGGCGCCCACGCCCCACATACCAGACTCGCCATAAAGGCGCTCGCCACCTGCACGCGCCCCGTCCTCCCCCAGATATCAGGCAGGGCCTCGCGCACCTTGAGTAGCTGCGCGGCGACCAGGGCGGGGCTTGCGCAGATGCCTACGCGTGCAGCCATGTGGTCCGGACCGCCGAGCGCTGCTTCTAGAGCGAGCGCGTGTGTGTGGGCAGAGGTATCTTGGGCGATGGGAGCATTGGGAATTGAGAAGGAGTTGGCGCTGATCTGGGAGTAGAGCGGGAGGCGGGCGTCAAGGGCAGGAAAGGACGGTATGGGCGAGGACTTCCACCAGATGAGGCAGTGCTACAGAACAGAGTAAGGACGCTGCAGCTAACCCACTCGCAAACCACGTACCTGCGCAGAGCCACCGATACAGCGAATCCGCCCGAGGTCGTAGTTCTTGTGCAGCTTTTCGAGGAGGTAGTCTGCCGTTCCGGAAAAGGAAGGAGGACCGCGATCGAAGATCGACACGAAACCAAAAATAGTCAATTTCCCATGTACGCGACAAGAGCGAAAATTTGATTCCGCGTCGACACGCACCCAAGGCTTTCACAAACATATCCACTGGCGTTGTGTACGCTTCCCCTGGCGTCGTGAAGATCCCGCCCTGCGTCCTACGCCACGTCAGCCGCTGAAGTAAACATTGGGTCCATGCATAGCGGGGATAGTCCGGTATAAATTTTGCGAGTGGCGTTCGAACAAAGCCCAGGGGAAGGTAAATATAACGCGCAGGAGACTCACTGGAATTCCGAAAGCTCCGAGTCATAGTCCACGCACTCGACGCCTACGAGCTCCAGGTTCTCGTCCACTATCGACGCCCTCAGCTGGTCAGTCGCCAGCTCCAACCCGAGGAATAGGGACGCCCCGCTCTTGGGCGCCGGCGGCATTTTCTACTCGTATACCCGTTCGTGTCAGAGTGTGAGGGCCAGCAAGCCAGCTAGAAAGTGATCGTATGCGAGTGTCGTGACGGGGGACGTAGAATCGTGCGTTTGTCGTGTGTACTTGTGTCGTTCCGCTAGCCAGCCAGCCAGAAACTCGCCCGCAGAGCGCAAAGCAGATGTGATGGCACAAAGCAGGAAGAAAAGGGGCGCAGGCGCAGGCCAATTCGATTCTCAGGCTGTGGTGGTCTCCAGGTGCGGTCCATCATCCATCCATGCCCCATTTACGTACCATCTGCGAAGACTTCCCGCCTCGTGTGATATTCTCCCACGCTTTACTTCGCGTACCGTCACTTTCCGAAAGAGGTATGTTTTGGCCCAGAAAGGAAGATCAACAAGTGCTTCAACGCGTGGATGCAAGACAAGACAACAGCGTCCTTGGTATTTGTGAGGGAGTGGGGTGAGCGGGGAGCAGGAAGAGGGGGGGAATTGAGGAATAACTTGCTCGAGTGTCGGTCGTCGCCTTATAAGTCGGGAGATATCACAGAAGCAGGTAAAGTAAAGGAAAGAAATATGTCAAAACCAAGATAGAAGTGTGCCGGAGTGAAATGACGAAAGACAGTCGCCAGAAAAGAGTAGGAACAACCCCCGATTTGGCCGTGCTGTGGCGCGAACTACTTGTCTTTCAGGCATCTTGTTACACATTCTACTTTTCGTTTATATTCGTACATACACAAAATCCAGACCTTTATATCGCCTATTGTCGGTCCATATTCTTGACCTCGTTGAGTTCGTGGGCCAGCTTGACGACGTCGTTCTACGAGTTCGTCAGACTGCACCCACTCAAGGAGCCTCTCCAGCTCTGCACTAACCCCTTTTCGCGTGATCTTCACTGCCGGATCGCCTTCTTTTGCATTCCTTTTCACTGTATTGCCCTTGTACCGTTTCATACTTGTTAATACCGCGTATACTGGAGGAAAGAGGAGGAAGTGAACCTTATTTGAAGTAACCTCGGCGTGGCCTTCGGTAACAATTTCTGCTATTCTGCCCGAAGGGTTTCCCGACCCCCATTTCCACCTACCACATAACGATGTCAGCACTGAAGACCCAAGAGGACCGTAGGAAAACACTCACGAGACCTCCTGACCTTCGTGTAACTGCAGCTGCTCAGCCATGTCGGTATGTCTTCGGTTGGGAAGTCTCGTGTCTCAAAACAATGCCCTAGACCGAACCTCTGCGTCGACCTTTATATCCTGGGTATAAGCAAGGGGCTGACATCTGGCTGGCGCTGGATGCACCGGAAAGCGTCATAATCCGTCCAGCTCGCCCACGTTAGCCACCCAGACACTCTCGGCGCCAACCGAGACCGATCCCGACTCGGATCCCCGACTCGATTGTCCATGTCAGTGTCGCTGTCCGATCGCGTAGTTACACTAGTATGTACTGGCATCAACTCAGACTCACCGTCAGCTCTGGTCGTCGTGGCCATAGGTGTTGTGCTCGTTTGGTGCTCCGAGGCTGCACAACTTCCGACGAGAAATGCGCGCTGCGCTCGGACGTTTCTCGCCTAGGAAATCGTTGACCTCCTTTCGGGATTCTCGAAGTTCGGCGCTGTTCATGAGTTCTACATTGGAGTGACAGAAAAAGCACGGGAGCACTCATTGTCAAACCCCGGAGATATATCTATATCGTGAGTCATTTCAACTACCTGACAGCAATCGGCGAAACGATACAGTGCTTTGCATAAGAAACTGAACATCGCATTTCCGCGCGCGTTGTTTGTTCGCGCCAAATAGACCCTTTTCGGGTAGGTCCGGAAGGCCTCTCGCGGGACCGTTTGTTGGGCAGGGACTCGCAGACGACCCGAGACGGCTCGAAAGGCTTCAGAGAATGCATGAAATGTATATTCTACAACTACACTAAGGGCTGTAAATCATTATACTCTGCCCCCACCTGTATGCCTAGCTACCCTCCCTCTCGATGGTTCTTTGCCGCACATTTGCC